GATGAGATAATGCATGTGAAATACAGTACCTGAGTTTCATCATGGCTGCATAAAAAAGGAAAGGCTAACTCCACTAAAACTCCTGTGCATGTGCACACATGGCAGAATTTCAGAAAATGCAGTTTTACGGGGTCAGAGGTAATAAATCCAGATCGGTCTAGTTACCCTGCAATGGTGGAGGGACTGCAGCTGTGCTAACAAGGTTGTGAAAAGTAACAAAAGACGTTTTCTGCCATGCAGATTGATAGCCCCACATACATCATCTCAAAGGTTGACTGGGAGACTGTCTAGGGCATTTTGATGAGGATTAAGATGCCCTTTAAAATCCTCATTATTTTCATGACAGATTTTAAAAATTTTTATTGAATTCACTGATGTGACATTGGTTAATAAAAGTGTATAGGTTTCAGGGGTACAATTCTATAATACATCCTCAGTGTATTATATTGTGTGTTCGCCACTCCATGCCAAGTCTCCTTCTGTCACCATTTATCCTATTTACCCTCCTCAACCTCCTCCCAACTCCTTTTCCCTCTGGTAAACACCGTGCTATTGCCTATATGTATGAGGTTTTTTTTCTTTGCTTAATCCTTTCACCTTTTTCTCCCAGCTCCCCAACCCTCTTCTACTCTGACAGCTGTCAATTTGTTCTCTGTATCTATGAGTCTGTTTCTATTTTGTCTGTTTGTTTATGTTGTTCATTAGATTCCACATGTAAGTGAAATCATTTGGTATTTGTTTTTCTCTGACTGGTTCATTTCACTTAGCATAATATACTCCAGGTCCATCCATGCTGTTGCAAAAGGTAAGATTTCCTTTTTTTACGGTTGAGTATTACTCCACTGTGTAAATGTACCACAGCTTTTTTATTCACTCATCTACTGATGGACACTTGGGTTGCTTCCAAATCTTGGCAATTGTAAATAATGCTGCAATGATCACTGGGATGCATATATTATTTCAAATTAGTGTTTTGGGTTTCTTTGGATAAATTCCAAGAAGTGAAATTGTTGAGTCATAAGCAGTTCCATTTTTAGTTTTTTGAGCAAAGTCCATACTGTTTTCCACAGTGGCTGCACCAGTCTGCAATCCTACCAACAATACACAGGGTTCCCCTTTCTCCACATCCTCACCAACACTTGTTTGTTGATTCATTGATGATAGCCATTCTGACAGGTATGAGATGATATCTCATCGTGGTTTTAATTTACATCAGGGGTGTCAAACTCATTTTTACCAGGGGCCACATCAGCCTAAAGGTTGCCTTAAAAGGGCCAAAATAATTTTAGGACTGTGTAAGTATAACTACTCCTTAACTGTTAAGGAGTTGAAATTACATTCAGTCCTTGAAGGGCAACCAGTGATGGCCCCTGGTGAAATGAGTTTGACACCTCTGATTTACATATCTCTGATGATTACTGACGTTGAGCACCTTTTCATGTATCTCTTTTCTGTCTGTATGTCCTCTTTAAGTATCTATTTAGGTCCTCTGCCCATTTTTTTAATTGGATTGTTGGGATTTTTGGTGTTGAGTTTCATTAAGTTCTTTATAAATTTTGGATATTAACCCCTTATCAGATGTATAATTGGCGAATATGTTCTCCCTTTCAGTGGTTGTCATGACAGTATTTTTAACCTCAGGAAAATGGCTGGAGTTTTAATTGCACCCCACTAGAGGCTTCCAAAGCTCCAAATCACATGCAAGGTCTGGGCAAGAACATGCAGTAGATGGACATTGAAAATGAATGGCCTGTGCTGGCTAAGCAGGCAAGCATAAAGTAGTATCAAAAAGGAAAAAATGCCACGGAAGTGACACCAACAAAGTATGCTTAAGCAGAAGCAACTGGAGGTAAGGAAAGTGAAGCCCAACACCACATGAATGATTTGGAACATGCTGAATGTGATACAAGGTGTAGAGCAAAGAGACAAACATTAAAAATGACTAGAAAGTTAGGGTTATCCTACTGGGAAAAGAAAAACAAAAATAAGTATTTTTTTTTTTACAAATAGCTTCAATAGGCTATAGGCCTTGGAGAAAAGGAACATGAAGAGCATTCAATCAAGGATTGGGGGAGTGGGAGGAGGAAGATGTTATGAAAACAGATGAAACTGTTATAACCCTGAGTCACAGCAGAAGAGGTAATTTTGGAGAATGAATGACAACATGGCTGAAATAATCAGCAATGGTCAGATTCAACATAAATCTGAAACGTAATGAACATTCTCATCATCTCACTTGAAATTGCACAACTGTCAGTCAGAGAGCCAGAGCAGAGTATGTCCGAATCTTGGAAGAAAGGGATATAACATTCCCTAATATGGAAAAAATCCTTTTAAAAGGCAGACTGACAAACATCACTAACACAGCAAAAAAGAACTTAGTGATCAGAATGGAGTTGCTCTCCGTACAAGGTGAAAAAATACACTCAGAAGAGCACAGGTCAGCACAGCGTGGGGGAGCTGGGCCCTCTCAGTGTCATGGTTGCACTGGTAACACCACCCCATCATCTCTTTGGAGGAGACGGATGCAGCAGGCTGTTTTGCTGGAAGCCTGTTGACTATTCAGGCATCTACCTCACCAGCAACTGTCAGATTGCAACTGGCTAGCCCATGTAGGTTGGCATAAAGGGAAAGAATGCTCACGGCTTCCCACTGGACTGAAGCTATATTCATCTTTAAACAACTAAACTGCCGTTACAATCTCTTAAAACAGTCTCATGAGTTTGGATAATGGGTAATAATCATCCCTGTGAGTTGGACTTTCTTTGGTGTGCTGAACACGTATTTCTGAGCCTATTACACCTGAGAGTCAGACTCTGGGTCTGAGAAAATTCACCAAGACAATAAAAACCACCTGTTTGGGGGGGGCAGGAAGTATCCTATGTGGTAGCTGATGGTTCTTCCTTAAGTGACAGCCTCTTGTAGCACTGTTAGCCCTGCGTGCCTTCCTTGTTTAAACGTGACACTTCCAGGGTCAGAATGAAAGTAGATGCCCCCCCCCCACCACACACACACACTCACTGGCACTGCAGTTAGAGAAGGTAACTGGGAAGGAGCCCAGGGGTGAAGAAGAATCATTTTTAATTTCTGAGTTTAAGAAAACACAGATAAATACTCAGAATTATTTCCTACTGGAAATTACTGCAACTATAGACAAAGAAGTTAATATGAAACTCTAGATAATCCCTTTTTATCCAAATTAATTACACACCATGAGTTTCAAAACAGAGTTCCTGCTAGAATCACAGGGACACAAATAAATAATACCATACGTACACACAAGTAACTTATGAACCTCAGAAATGTTACATAAAAAGACAATTTTAATGTCAATGTCATACCTAATTTATGAAAAGCACTAGCTAAAAGCTGGATGCACACCCTGGAAAGGTGACAGCACAATGGCTACATAAAACATACTATGACTCTGAAGGCTCTGAACACAGGCGGTGACTGGTGCTATTCACAGGTACAGACAGAACACATTTTGCTTCAAATAGGTAAATAAAGGTGGTACTATTTACAATAGAGGTTGCAGTTTTCTCTTTCTTTTTGGCCTCTGATTAAATTTTTATCCTCTTCCTTTTGAAAATACTTTGGTGTTCCTTTTTTCACGTCCTGGATTTAGTTGTCCCTTATTGTCAGTAAGGAGGTACTCTCCAGTTCCCTTTCACAAATCACTCCTAGTTCTTTTCACTGTCCTTCAGATGGCTTTGTAAGACAATTATAACTTATGGATGAAGTGATATGAATGAAGCCTGGGAGTAATGGGGGCAGGGAGGATGCAAATGAAACAAGACTGGCCATGAGTTGATCATTGCTAGAGATAAAAAACAGGCACATAGGAGTTGATTGTACTATGTTTGAAATTTCCCATAATAAGATACTTTTTAAATAAAAACAACTATTCTTATACCATTTACTTTATGACAATGATTTTCTGCTGAAGGGCATAGAAATTGGGCTAAAGGTAGGCTTCATTGGCTCATTTGCAATTGAAATCTAATCTACAATTCCAAATAGCTTTCTGAAGTACCTCACCCAAACACATGTACTATAAGCCAGACCCTTTTCTAAATACTCTCATTACATTACCATGTCAAATGCAGCAACCATCTAGGTGACTATAGTTACTCTTATTTAAAGTTTAGCTGTAAGCTTCTTGGAAATAAAGGTAAATAGTGAACTAATAGTGAGTAATAAATTTCATGTTCTGATAAAAACATACCAAATAGAGTTTTCCTGATACTAAATTCTACTGTCTCAATGAACCTCTATTATAATACAAAGGACATGATATAACATAATGAACAGTGTCTTTAACATAACTTCACAGGTGAAGTGTTTCTCATGTGGTCAGCCCTTGAGTCAATGCTTCCTGAACACCAAAGGCTTTCACACTTAGCTCAGTGAGGCAAAGCAACTCTTTCGGGGTCGACGGTAGAACAGTCCAGATAAGTAGCTTTTTGATATCAACCATCAAGTAAGAGTCAGGGATACTAAATCAAGGGAAACAAATGGAAAGGATGTCCATATTTTCAAAATAGACTCTCTTTGCAGGGCTTTTTGATGGTGGCCTAATTTATGGCAATTTTGAATTTCACTTTCTGGTGAGAATTCATATTACAAATTACAGAAAGGTTCATATGATTTGGATTTGAGCATTCAGGTTTTGGGATGACCTTATAGTTTTTATATATATATATAATTTATATGTGTTTACATAATGTTAAAACTTTCACACCCTGATTACTATAATGAAAAGCATCATGAGCTAGCAGTCAGGAGGTACAAGCTACAGTTTTAGTTTTACTAGTTTGTGTGGCCTTGGGCAAGTAACTAATTTTCCGAGTCTTCTTTCTTCAACTAAAAACTAGATCGTTCCATTAAATGTTTCACTTATTTTGAGATAGTAATGTAAAATGCTTCTCAGATTCCTCTAATCTTTATGAATATGAATAAATCTCAAGGTGTCATTTAGTCAGTAAAATTTATCTCACCAGGATTATATCTGGATCACTGTTGCTGGTTTTGGCTTCAATCAAAGCCTTACATTCCTGCACCAGATTCTGATTCTGCTTCCATTTCATTTCCCAAGAAGAGGCCTATAGCAAGGTATTAGCAAAAATATACAAGGATCAGTAGCAATCAATGGTATACATTAAACTATCTTCATTCACCCCCTATTAATTTCTGTACAGAAGCAGAATTCTGTCAGATAAACAGAAGAAATTCAATTTCTGATCTTTGTGCTCAAGAAGTATGACTTATAGATAAGCATATGTAAAGGTTGAATAATAACAGACAATTAAAAAAAGAGTATCATAAGACAAATTAAGTATTCAATGAATGGTGTAGACTATGGTGCTCAAATGTGAACCAAAGGGCTTATATTATTTTACAAAGGATCTGCAGGAATTATTGCCCATATCCGGAATAGACAATGTCTCATATGGATGTACACTTGTTCTTAATATTTATGTAGGTGTTGCTGGGGGGAATAAGAAGTGCATTGATTTCAAAATTTTTATGATGGCTTTCTCTTACTATGTAGTTCTTAACCAATGGATACTAGACATGCCTAGTAGTATGTGAGATATCTACAGCCATTCTTCTGATAATTGAAAGGATGTCCTCATACTTGAATGGTGAGAAACTGTTAGAATGGGAAATTTATGATTCAAGGAAAGGTCTCTCTTTTTTAAAAAATTTTACTTATTTATTTTTAGACAGAGAGGGAGAAAGGAAGAAAGTGGGAAACATTAATGTGTGGTTGCCTCTCATGTACCCCCTACTGGGGACCTGGCCCACAACCCAGGCATGTGCCCTCACTGGGAATCGAACTTGTGACCCTTTGGTTCTCAGGCTAGCACTCAACCCACTGGGCCACACCAGCCAGGGCAAGGAACGTCTCTTTTGATTAGGATGACTTGAGGCAGACTCTTAGCTTCTTGAGGGCAAGAATTTTGTCAATCTATGAGTCTTCAGTACCTGGCCCAAAGTAAATGCTTAACTATTTTGTTTGTTTAGTAGAATGAATTAACCAAGAACACTGGTGGAAAATTAAAAAGAATAAAAAGTTGAAGATGTAGAAAATAATAAGTATTATTTTTAGTGGGAGCCCTGTTTTCAGGAAATGGAAGGAAAGTTGTTTGGGGGAAAAAAGTGGAATCTTCTGAGAAACACAGGATGTGATAAAAACAATTCTCTAGGAAGAATGGGTAATTCATTAATTACCTGTATTAACAAAGCTGAACTGTGGTGCAAATGAGCTAAATCATTTACTAATTCCAGAGCCATTTTTATCAAGCTTTTGGAACACACGATAAAATTTACTCCAAGCACATCTGCCTTCCTAATTCCATCTACTTAGGCTAATATTAAAATTAATTACACTTCCTGCACCTCCTCTGATAGTGGTAATGTGTAGTGTTGTGTTTGCTAGACAGAATATTAAGAGTTTACTGCAAATAACCCTCAAGTAATTGGAAGTTGCTTCAATTGCAGTTTAAAACCTGATTAAATTCATTTTTCAACAGCTTATAAAAAATTACACAGTCTCCAGATCTATCCGCCTCACTTTTTAGCTTTTTTAAAGTACAGAATATCTTCTGAAGTGAAATTATTTACCTTCCCAAGCTATAGCCAGTCTCCCTTTCTTCACCCTCCACTTGCTAATTATTCCATTCTAATCTTCTACCCTCTTCTCTCCAACAAAAACAATGAAATCCTTCTTGAGATCATCCCTATTACCTCTAAGTCATTAAGTCAATGGATGGTTTTCAGAGACTTTTAGCATCTCAGTAGAATTCAACCTCTCTGACCATCTCACCTTAGACTGCATTTTATGTCCCCCCCCCCCCCCCCCCCCAACCCTTGGCTTTAATAATATAACAGATTCCTGATTTCCTCTCTGACCATTCTGGCAGTTCTTTCACTATCCCCTGTGCACACATCTTTGGACTGTAGCCATAAGATGCTAATATCCCTCAAGTTTCTATCTCCTTGTTCTTCACCTCTTACCCTTACTTCCCCCGTGGCATGTCCCCTTGGGAGTCTTGAACTGTGTAAGCTGAACTGGTGCTTCTCCTCAGAAGCCCAGCCACCTGGGATTCCCTGTTTCAATTAATGGAATCACCATCCAACCAGGTGCAAGAGCCATAGATTCTGTATTCATTCTTAACATTTCTCTCTGCTTCACCTTCCATAGCCAATATATCACGAAGGTGGGTCAGTGTTCCCTCCTCAAAACAATGCAGAAGGAACAAAAGTATGTATTTTGCCATGTATAATGCATACATTTTTGCCCACATTTTTGAGGGAAAAATAAGGATGTGTATTTTACATGGGTAGTACCTGAAATATCTTTTATCTGTTCTTGTGTTTTGTAATTATTAGCTACATAAAATTTCTTGTACCCTATGTTCAAAAATAAATGCTAAAATTACTTTATAATACAAAAAAACAAGTATCTAAATATAAATAAATAAGTAATTTAATTTAAAATTAAAACAATTTTTTTCCTGAAAGTCTGGACCAAAAACATGGATGTGCATTATACACAGCAAAATATGGTATTCACTTCTCTCCACTCCTTCACTGTCACCCTAGCCCCCACTAGGCTGTTATTTCTCCATGTGACCACTATAATAATGGTAACCACTCCTCCTGCATTCGCTCCCATCTTGGCTAACCCTTCTTCTATACCCAGCCAAAGCAATTTTTCTAAAGGAAAATCTAATCATGCCACTTCTCTACTTGAAACTCTCCAATGGTTTCCCATTGCTTTGAGAATAAATGCAAAACCTCTTATCAAAGGCTATACATAAGGTCTGCAAGGTCTGGTCACTCCGTACTCGTCTTACACCATCCCTTTCCCATCTCTCTGCCCATTATATAGCTCAGTTGTCTTCCTCGGGTACTCTGTATTAACTATGTTTCCTCTTTAGCAAATGCTGTTGGCATTGTTTGGAAATGCTTTTTCTCTCTTTGTATCAGCTTAATTGGAATTCAGTCACAATAGTTCAGCCATCACTTTTTCAAGGAAGATTTCCCTGTCCTCTCAGATAAAAGTCAAATTCTCTGTTATAAGTACTCATGCTACTAAGTCATAAAAACTATCACAATTGCAGTTTACATTTATCTGTAATTGCTGAACTGTCTGTCTCTATGTAAATTCAATGGGGCAGGGATTGGTTATATAAACACTAAGTGAATATTCAAATATCTTCTGATATTTAAATATCTTGTGAATATTCAAATATCTTGTGATAAATATCTTGTGATATATATCTTGTATGTGTATATATATTACACCAAGTATATATACATATACATCTATACATACAGATACATCTAAACATATACATCTATATATACATATACACATATATCTATACACACACACATTACACCAAGTATATCTATATATACATATACACATATATTTATACATACACACATACATACATATATACATATATGTGTGCCTATACACATATATATGTGTGTATGTATACATATATACATATACACATGCACACTAAGTAAATCATGTCATATTCCAATACCTGGGCACACTTCAATCTCTTAAATCATTTGTGTGTTTTTGCAGCATGTGATCTACCCATAAAATATGCCAATAAATTGCAAATCTTTTTTTTAAGGTTTTATTTATTTATTTTTAGAGAGGGAAGGGAGGGAGAAAGAGAGAGAGAGAGAAAGAAACATCAATGTGCAGTTGCTGGGGCCGTGGCCTGCAACTCAGGTATGTGCCCTGACTAGGAATCGAACCTGCGACACTTTGGTTCGCAGCCCGAGCTCAATCCACTGAGCTATGCCAGCCAGGGCAAATCGCAAATCTTGAAATCACACAATTAGTACAAGTCACAGTTAAAGGATAAAACTAATTTTTATACAGGGTATTACTAATGTACAGTATTTTGGACATTGCAACAATTGAATAAATATATGCTGAGTATATGAATTCATATGTATATGATATATAATCCAAAGTAAATTCTGATGACTATAGACAGATTCAGCTTGGCTTCTATGGTCTTAAAAAAAGATTTAGGTCCAAAACTTCAGAGGTACAGGGAACTGGACTTTAAATATTTTAAGAGAATGAGTTAATCCAAAACAGAATGAGAAAAGGCTGCTTTAGGAGGTAATGAGTCTCCATCACTGAAGATTTTCAAGAAAAGTCTACACACCATTTGCCAACAACATTACATAAGAATGTGAGATATTTCTTTAATAAATTCTTCAGAACAATGCCTAACCTACCTTGTCTCCCACAATGCATAACATTGTTTCTTACACAGTGCAGTTCAGTAGATATTTGCTGACTGAATCAGTTTATTGCTTTCAGAACCAATGGCAATTAGTTTTAATATTTCTTATGGTGGCCCATATCTACCCTTGAAGGGTAAATTTAATTTTGGAAACAGGAATAAAGCATTAGAAGTCAAGTTTGATGAACAAGGCAGATAAATTAGGGAATAAATTTTGGCTTATACAAGATTTAAAGTGGTAGTGAGCTAATAATGTCTGATCATTTAGCACTGAATCTGGCACGGAGTAAATAGTCAGTTATATTATATTATATTATTATACAATACTATCACATTATAACTGAATCAGAGGGTTCATTTTCAAAAATGGTTTAAACAAAGGTAACATTTTAAGAGTGAAAGTACAGTGACTCAAGAGAAGCAAACTCATCTGGATATGTGGACAGTCTCAGATGGTACATTTGTTGATATCAGTCTCAACACTGAGTTGTATTAATGAAATTATATTTCATTTTTTCCAGAACCCTGACTACAAGGGGTAAATACCTATTATACAATTTGGCTAAGCATTTTTGCTATAAAGCATGTGAAAGCAAAATCCTCAAGTTTACAGGTTTATCCTATATGAATATGTCTCTCTTAAATACAATTGGTTGAGCTCTCCATACATTACCCTGATGTGTTAATATTAACAATCTAACTTTTCCTCCAAAAGAGAGAACTCAGAAGAAAAAAATAAGAAATTGGGACCTTGTCCAGGAAACTCAGATTACAATGTGTGCTTTAGTTAGAATGCTTTAAAAATATGAAAATGAAGCAAAACCCTTACCAAATGCTATTTGCAGAATAGATCAATTACTACACATTTGGTGAATAAGAAAAGAAAAGAAAAAACACCTGGGATCTCTCAGACAGTCTGACGTTTTCTGGCAGGGCTGCTGAATGTCTCTGCCGTGGCTTCACTTTCTTCCGTGTACACTTCACCATTTTCGTCTCTGATACGTACTCCACATCCGAGTCTGCCCCTTCAGTGTTTCTTTTCCAGCCTCTGTGGCTCACAGAAAGCTCCAAGGATGCAAAAGACTCATACTTCAAGTCGTTACCTGAAGGCCTGATTTTCTGAGTTTTTGTGTTTTCCTTAAACAACAAAGGACATGTTTGTATTTTTTGTTAGTCAACTTTTTAAAATTAATCACAATTCCCCTTAAAACCTCATAACATTAGGCAATATTTATTACTAAAAAAATCCTTGAAAGCAGAAGCTTAGAAACAGACTTCAGCAAATGTGTACCACTGTGATGGCTCATTCAGAATCTGACTCAGCAAATCGAATTTTGAGGATGCAGAAGGCCCCAAAATGAGAACAGTGTGCTTCCTGATTTCTTCCCAACAGGGACTTACTTGCCTTTGGCTCCCTGGTGCATGTTACAATAATTACACATTCTCCATTTTCTAAAGAAAGTTTCAAGATTGCACATCCTCGCCAATAATTATTGAAGGGGTCCCTTTTAGTTTAGATGTTCTACATAGTGGAGGCTGGATAGTACAAGAGCACCTGACGGTTTGTTGAAGCAAGATAGATCAGACGCCTTGGGACCAAGTTCAGGGTGCACTTATCTAAATGTTAGCTGGGGCCTATCAATCCCATCATCTGCCTGTTAAAAATGTGAATAACTGAAATCATAATAGAGTTTTCTAAACTTTTGTGTGTTTGATATAACTGGAAGCTTTATCTAAATATTTAAAAATATTCCCTCTACTCTTTGAATTTTATATAGTAACAGACATTTAAGGAATATAATGTAACACAACCTTTAGCAAACATAACAATGTAGGAATTACACATACAACATATGTTGAGGTAAACATATATCCACAGACAGAATCAATCAATCTCTCCATATCCCTCACAGAGATCTCTCTCTATATGATTAAATATATAACTATATATCTTCTATATTCATAGAAAATATTGGAAAAATATGTTAAAATATTTTAAATGATCATAGCTCCAGGAAGTAAGACAATAGGTGATTTACATTTTCTTATTTATATTTTATTTCCTGAGATTTCACTAATAAACATGCATCACTCTAATAAGAGAAAAACTATGACAGTTTAAAAAATTCCTTAGTGCTTCACTTTCTGAACCTCATATACTGTGACAACATTTGGCCCTTGATAAGTCTTATCCTTCATATGAGAAACAGCACACCAATGGCTCATTCTACATTAATTACTCACCTTTGATGCTGAAGTTTGGCAGATGGGAGTGAACTCAGCGATCCTGCTTGTTGGTATAAACTGAGGCTATGGGAAATGTCATTAGACAAATGTGAGTAAAATAACTTTCAATTGGCATATTACAATAATTCAACATTCTTCATTTTTAAAAAAGTTTCAAGATCGCATATTCTCACTAATAATTATTTAAGGGGTCCCTTTCAGTTTAGAGGTTCTGATTAGTGGACTACAAGTGGTCTTGATGGTTTGTTGAAGCACGATAAATCAGATGTCTTAGGAGTAAGTACAGGAGCCATTTATCTAACATCATCTCCACAGGCCTCAACTCCCCTTCCTGGAGACCCATTTGTTCCCTACTTTCAGGTCCCAGAATCTGAAATGAACTCTGATCTCCAGCAGTAGCTATTTACTTCCAAGCAATAGGCCTGAGCTTTACTTTTGATGGTCGGGTGGCCTTCATTGAGTCCCTACTCACTGGATGCTGCCTTATCCCCATCATTCAGCAGCTGCCTTGTACTCAGAGACACAGCCAGAGAGAGAGGAAACATTTGCTCTCCCTGAAAAAGAAGAACCTTTTAAGTCAAATCTGATGTGATCATTGTTACCCTAAAATGATAAGACGTTAATGAAATACAGAGAGAAGATAAGGAACAATGCAGGCTCTGCACCCCAGGTCCAGGTTCACTCCCCATGGGTTGAAACCCTGGTTAGGGGTCCACTTGCACCTGCTTTTCAGTGTACCCATTACCTTTCCCTGTACCACTGTGGTACCCAGCTCAGTCCAGATTCTCTAGGACACAACGTTTACCTTGCTCTTGTTAAGTACCCTATCCCCCAAACTGGAGTCCTGACTCCGATTAAGGGTTTGATGGATCTGTTCTCTTGCTGAAAATTTTTCAGATGTGTATGGCCTGCATAGATTTTGAAATAGTGCTGTTTGCTCTATGCTCAGATCCAAATGCCCCTCTGTGCAACTTATAAACTGCAGGTTCCTTCAAGACAACCCTTCCAAAACTGAATTCATTATTTTCCTCTGTACCTGCCCTCACCCCCAACCAGTACTTCCTAGTGCATTCCCTCTTTCAACTAATGGCATCACCAATTTGCAGCCATCCAAGCTAGATTACTGGCTCATCATCACTACCAATCCTTTCCACCTAATTAGCACTCAAGCCTTGTGAATTTCTCCACTTAAATATCTTTTTAATTCAAATCTTTGTACTACACTCAAATAACCACATTTTTATAGGCTTTTATCATCTCTTGATTGAACTATTTTCTATAATTTCATTTTTTTTTGCTTCTAGTTCAGAGATTTCTCTAGACCTGTCACAACCACTTTCTACACAATACTATTCCCTTCATTAAAACAAGGAGGAGGAGGAAGGGTAGGGACAGTTGGCATTTTCAAAATTAAATGCATCTGGTTAGAATCACCTGGTAAGTCTTTTTGAAAAGCTACTAATGCCAAGTCCTTACACCCTAGAATTCTAGTTTAATTGTGTGAAGAGGGAGTCTGGCATTGGTATTTTTTAGAGCTCTCCAAGTGATTCTAAAATGTAGTCAGGATGAAGAACCACCAGCCTACAAGACAGTGCCTCATTTCTGCAGCACCTAGCACATGGAATGGCTCATACAGACATTCAAGTTTGTTAAATAGAACCAAACAGCACCTAGCATAACATACAAGCAGCTTTCAAATGGTTGCAGCTAACCTTTCTAAATTCCTCTTCTGAGCCATTTCCAGTGCCTGTGAGGCCCCCGGTTGCCCTCACAGACTCAATGCCCAATCCCTGTTTTCCAGGTTCACTTTTCATGTTCTTAGGCCTTTGTACAATCCACTTCCTCTGACTGTAATAACTTTCCAATCTTCTCCATTTGTTCAATTTCACTCATCCTTCAAAGTCTAGTTCAAATCTTACACATTCTGAATACATCCCCCAATCTCCCAAAGGAGAATTAATTGCTTTATCTTCTATGCCCCTACATTATAATTTCTTTTTAGATGTTAATATAGATAATACAGGGTCCAGCACAAATAATGACCCCTTTCTTATTATAAAATATTTTATTAGAAAATCATAAGCGTGTAACTCTATAACATAACAATATCACACTCAAGCACACCATATGACCTTCTAGGTGAAATGTTCAAATTAAAACTATAAATTATTACACCTATATTATTTCCCTAATGACCACACTCAAGCAGGTGTTACTTCTGCTGGACCCTGGATATTCACATAGAACAACATATATTTTTAAAAGTCTATACTTTAAGTCTCCTTACTATTCCATTCTCCATCTATCCAGCTCATATTCTCCAAGTAACAAGTAGCCACTGTTTCTACTTTTCTGCTTATCTTTCCAGAGATTTGTTTGTATATTGTATACAAGCATATGTAAATAAATTTTCCCCACTTTTTTGAGATAGGGAAAATGGCAGTATATTATACACATAGTCTACATCTTGTTTTTTCACTTAAAGATATATTCTAGAGATATTTCTCCATTAGAACTGAAAAAGCTTCTTCATCCCCTTTTTCAGCTGCATTGTATTCTAAGGTATTGTTGTTTAAACAGACCTGTTGATAAACATTTAGATTTTCTCAATATTTTACTATGCAAAATATACTGTAATGATTTGTAAAACAAGTAATTTTATAAATAAGTAATTTCATATTTGTGTGAGTACATTGGTATACACAACTAATATCTAAAAGTGAAATTTCTGGGTCAAAAGGTATATGCATTTGTGGTTCTGATAGACACTGCTCAATTGTCTCCACCAGGTTTTTGGTGGCCTAACACAGAGTCCTTCTTGTGAATATTTCAAGAGCACCTAATAAAAATTTCTTTCTCTATTTTGAGAGTACAGTGTTTTGTATCTATAAATTACATATACATTAGTATTAATTGATAGATATTCCTAAACTGAGAGCAAATTAAAGTATCTCATTACTAGTATGATTGTCTCTTTTCCCATGTATCCTTTGTACGTTTTTCTTCATGGAACTCAACACTACATTAGCTAATATGAGAGACTGCTAACTGATACATCTTCATTGTGAACTAATGACTTCAGCCTAATTCAATGCCCCTCCCTGCACTAATAGTTTCCCCTTGAATTTCAACTTGTCTGATTGTAGGATGGACCTCTATTTTATTTTTGTATACCTATCTGAATTCAACCCTTCTGAATAACTGTTTTAGATGTGTGCCTTGTATATAGTGCAGGCATGATCTTTGCTATGTGATACAACCTAAAATCTTTCATCCTTTTCTAAGGTAAGCTTAGGCCATTTGTATTTATTGATACTATATCTGCGTTTGGCACTAGTTGTCATATGGTTTAATTTTCTTTTTATAATTTATTTCAGGTTTTTAATGATGCAGCCCATTTATTTTTATTTTGTGTAGGCACTTCTGATATTATGTAGGTTTTTTCCTATTGATTAACGTCATAATGATAACTTTATATAATACTTTTATTCTTAGTTCTTTCCATTTTAGATAGTATCTATAAGTTCACTACTCTAATAGTGACAAAATTTATTTTCTCTTCTTTTGTTCTACTCTCTAATATTTTTCATAATATTATGTTTGTATTTATATTAGTACCAAAAAGTATGCTTAAATTGCTTAAATGATATATCTTCATCTTCTAGCACAGATGAGGCAAACAACTTACCTTTCACCTTGTGTTCTTGACTTCCTGCTTTTGTTAACTGAATCATTACTATATTTCTAGGACATTTACATTCAGTTTGGTACCTAATGTCACATGTTTTAGTCTTATTTCTATAGTTAAATACAGTCAATGCTTATTTCCAAATCTTTGTTGCAGAATTTTCAGGTATTTCTTGGCTGGCTCAAGTTTGACTCCTAGGTTTTTCCTCAAAAGGAGTCATGAGAACAATATTTTTGAGGATTTTTTCCCCTATTTTCAAAACTATTTATTTGTAGATTTTTAATTTTACAATGGTATGGTGAACATAAAATTATTGATTTATACTCCTTTCCTTAAGGATCTTACAGTTTACTTCACTGCCACCTGGAGCTGCCATTTTTATAGAGAATTTGAAGCCAATCTAAATTTTGTTCTCCCCTATGAGTGATTTGATCTTTATGCCTATTCACAAAGGATTCTATCTTTTTCTTTACAGTTGAGTAACTTTACTAGAATATGCCTTATTGTTGACTATTATGGACAGTTTTCCCTACCATGTAGTGTGTACTGTTGCAAATATGTAGTTTCAGGGTTTTTTTCTTGAAAACTTGAACATTTTTCCTTATTTCTAGCTTTAAAAATGTGTTTTTCCCTTACTTTTTCTTTGGGTATTCCAATTCTGAACACATTGAATCTCCTTTCATTAGGTGTGTGTGGACAACTTTAACTTCTCTCCAACAATCTGAGGGAAAAAATGTCCATCTTCTTATCCTAACTTAAACTCTCTACCTGAGTCCTGGTAATCCTTTATTCCTGTCTTTGCCGAAATTTTTCTGTGCCAATTAGTCCTCATCTCTGCTGTGAACTTTCTCCCACTTCACTGGCTCCTTTCTCTTGGTCCAGAAACACTGTCAAAGCTCTCCCAACCATAGCTTTACCTCAACCTCACGACCTTCCTACTTTCAACCCTATCTTCTCTGACCCTTCAGTAAAAATTTACTAAAGTAGTTTATTAATCATGGTTCCCATACCTTTACTATTCATTAAATCCTCACCCCACCTGGCTTACTCTATGAAACTTATCTTGCTTATGTGAGAAATGGCCTTTAAGTTATAAAAAACAATGGATCAAGATAATGAGAACACAAGCAACAGACTGGGAGAAAATGTTTGCAAAAGAAGCATCTGATAAAAGACCAAAATGTTATACAAACTGTACAAAGAACTCTTAAAACTCAACAATAGAAAAATAAACAATTGATTAAAAATGGGCCAAAATATATATGTACCCCTATGTTCACTGCAGCATTATTTACAATAGCCAAGATATAGAAACAACACAACTGTCCTTCAATGAATGATGAGATAAAGAAGAGGCACAAATATACCATGGAAT